AAGAAACCCATTTTCCAGTATGACTCCATGCACATGTGCACACACAAGGTGTGACAGTTTTACAAAATAGACAAGTTTCCTATTTCATTAATTAAAAAAAAAAGCTGGCCTCATTGATTGATTTCACAACTTTATGGATTATAATTGAGTTTTTAGCCTGAGAGCTTTCCCACTTTTATTCTTTAAAGACCTTCACATCACAACAGCCTTGAATTTAGGGGAGAAGCGGATGCAGCATATGTGGAAGACTGGCCTTTGGCCGTGGGATGGGGAGGAGGGTTCACAGATCACTTGGGCACACCCTGAAAGGAGCCCCTTTTTGGAATGGCCTCATCTCAAACATGGAACTTGTTAAAGGTGTGCACTAAACACCTCCAAAAGATGTTTTATGTGGTGTGAACCTTGATGTGACGGACCAGCCAGGATAGTTTCGCACTTACCTAGGCACCTCTGTCGTACAGATTTTGCCTTCAGCCCTTGGAAACTGCTGCCTGCTGGGGTCTGTTTTGCCAGATGGGATTTCACGCTCCTTTTGTTCTGCATTAACCTGAGTCAGGCTCACTTGACCTCCTCTCAGCTCTGCTGTGTGCAGAGCCTTTGATCCCATGAAAGTACATTCCACTGTTAATTTCCTCAAGCAAGTGTGAAGTCCATCTCCATCCTGCATCAGAAGGCTTGTCAGAAATGAAAAGGAATTTGAGGTGACATCAGTGTTTGACAAGGTATGATTACCCTTTCTCTGCCAAAGCAGGAGCCATGGAAGTGGGTGCAGTCAGGCTGCAGCAGGGCTCCCCCCACCTGAGTCCCTGGCTGGCTTTTTGGTATCTGGGGCAGTGACCTTGTAAAGCCTGCATTGTGAAGTTGGCTGCGTGTGTGTCCAAAGGAAATACTACATATTAAATAGGAAAGCAGGGGTGGAAAGTTCCAGGAAATTGAAAGGTGAGGTTGACACGTCCTTATTCACTAACGATGCTTCTGTTTTTCTTTCTGAAAAACAATGATGATTTAAAGTTTGATCTTAGAACAAACTGGCTCTTATCCATAACTTTATAAACATCCTTTCTTAACTACTTATTAAATAAAATCATACTAATAAGTTGCCTTTTATTATTTGGTGTTAATGACCCCAAAGCACCCTAACACAGCGTTTCTCAAACTTGCCTGTCAGACGAGGTACTTGTTAAGAATATTCTGGGACTTTGCCCTCATGTTGAACCAGAATCTGTATGGAATAACACAGGTGAGTGATTTTCTTAGAATCTGAGAACTGAAAGAAATGTGGGGCATGGAGCTAGTCCCGGTGTTCCCAAGCCTGGTGACTCTCACTGTTATGACCTAATACAGGGAGTCTGGGCCCCACTCCTTACCTGTTTGATCCCAACCTCTGCCCAGGGGCTTTAGGGCTTTAGTTTTCAACAGGCTGGTCATTAGTCTGGAGTGGTAACCCACTCATCTTTTCAGATTCCTTCAGGAAAGGGAACTTGACTCAACGTGCTTGGTTATTGGGCTAGAAAATAGCAGCACAAGAAATCCTCTTCTGACAGATGTTGATCGACTCAAATAATATTCACATTTCAGGTCCTTAGCATGGGGAGATTCAAGATGAGGGAGCAGGGCCCCTGCCCTTGAGGCACATGTACGGTTACTAAGCCTTTCTCAAAGGATGAGTTTGGGGGTGGCATGTGCCCTGCTACCCCAGCTCTCAGGTGGGCGTGTGCCTGGGTGGGGTCAGAAAGCATAGGGCACCTACTCTCCTCACCTGTTGGCTGCTGTCACCCTCCATTTGTTTTTCTCTTAACAACTTGATGAAATATCCCCAACATCTAGAAAAGCACAGAGGCAAATATAATGAGTAACCACGTGCCTCCACGTGGTTTTAACAAATATCCCCCATCTTGCTTGAAACCCTCCTGCCTCCCC